AAATGTCGACCCCCTCCCTCCGCTACCCAGGTTTTGGTTTTCATGCTCCTGAGGGAAAAGAGCAGACCTAGGTACCAGGGGGGGGGTACCATATATTATATATGTATATATATATATATATATACGTGAGCATATAAATAAATAAATATATATATATATATATTTATATTTTGTTAATTATTTTTTACGTATTTAGATATTTGTTACTAGTTGTGTATATACATATATGTATGTATATTTTTTTCCTAGAGGGCCTGGGGCATTTATACCTTTAGCCTCCATTCTATTTGCTTGTCTGGGGTTTAACCAATTGTATGTTTAATGTTGATTTCATTTTAATATCCGCCCTCTCCCCCCCCCTTTCGATTGTTTTCAGGCCCCGGCAGGTGGGATTGACTAATCGAGGGGGTGGGTCCTCGCTATATGACTCTGGGAGGGCTGATAGAAGGAGCGTTTTTTTACAAACCGATTGTTATTGAGTTTCCGCGGTCGAGTTGATGTTTGAGACTATGTGGGTCGATATTTGCAAGGTATATAGGGTATAGGGATGTTGAGCGTCTGGGGTTCAGCATTCAGGCAGAGGGCTTCAGGTTAGTAGGGTGCAGGGTTTAGCAGCGGTACTATATTCTACGATGAAGCATACAATGCTCTAGCTGTTGCATTGTCATTTGGGTGTCGTGGCAGCTTGCAATCGCGCTTCATGGAGTAGGCCCTTGTACCCGAACCGAACTACTCTAAGTTTGAAACTCGAAACAACACCTAACGCGACAAACCTCCAGTGGCCTCCAAAGCGACCCAAAGCCTAAACCCTAGTTTCACTTTGGAAAAGCCCCAAACCCCAACCCCAAACCAAAGGGATCGAGGCCCTAAGCCGTAATTGCACACCCAGCCCCTCACCTGAACCCTGAGGTCTCCTTATAGGTTGTTCAAAAGTACCTCCTTAGTCCCGGTATAGCTAGGGTTTAGGGTTTAGGGTATAATACACTAGCGCCCCTGAAAGCGGAAACCCGACAGACTGATCAAGCCCTGTGCAACAATTCACAACAGCCCTAATTATACTCTAAGCCCTCAACCCCTACACCCTAAAACCCTTAAGCCCAAAACCTCCAAAACCTTAAACTATAAACCCCAAACCCCTACATCCCAACCTAAGGACATCTTGGGCCCTGGGGAAGTGACCCTCGCTGGGAACCTAGCGCGCTTTTCTGCCGTGGCTCTTGGGGCTGTGGGCTTTAAATAGGGTTGTAGGCTTTTCGGTTCTAGGGCTTCGGGGTTCTAGGGTTTGAGGGCTTTAGGGATTTTGGTTCAGGGTTTAGGGTTTCAGCGCTTTTCGATTTTTAGTTTGGGCGCTTGCTGGTTGAGGGGTTTCGGGCATTTAAATGTAGCGTGCGACTACTGCGTCCTGTAGCACAGATCTCTCAGTTCTGAACATGCCCACTTCCAAGAGTCATTGTTTGCTTCGGTCGCTGAAGTGTTGGGGTCGTGATATATGGCGGGTTGCAGGGCTTTCAGAAATTCTGAGCGCAGAAAGAGCTCTTGCAATGCACTTTGAGAGCTGCGGTTTCACACACATCTTTGGTTTTTTAAAGCTTACAGTGCCGCTCAAAAGTATAACTCTCTCAGCACCACCCTGGACCCTGAGAGTGCTTGCTGGGTATGGCGGCTTACCGGCCACTGGGTTGGGTTAGGGTTTAGGGTTTAGGGTTTAGGGTTTAGGGTTTAAGGGTTTCGGAGGGCAACAACCAACGCATGTCGATGTTCAGACTTGAATCGCAAACCCCCTAAACCCCAAGCTCTAAAACCCTGAACGAAAACAAGTATTGACTCAACATACAGCCCTAGATGTCCTAGATCCAATCCGACTATGTAAAACCACAATTAAGCTTTGACAGGATTTAACGTCCTAGGCCTCAACGCCTACAGCCTGAAGATGTCTGGGTTTCAGGAACCATCCGCCTGCGGCGCAGCAGCCCACCTTGATCAGGAAAAGCTGTCGAGTTTTGAGGTGTATGTGGTTGAGGGGATTGAGGATTAAGGTCTAGCGTTTATGCAGTGTTCGTATCATTTGCAACATCCCTCAGACAACAACTGCAGACTAGCAATGACTATAGTATCATAATCCTGGCAGCCCGCGACCACAGCACGTCATCAGTCAGAGTGCAAAATATTGTTGGAGGTCGGAAAGTCTGCAACCTGCCAGCTTCCCTTTTTGATTCTTAGAGGCAACACAAAGCCTCAGCCCAAAGCCCTCAAAGCTCGAGGCTTCCACAACAAGGTAGGCCGCGAACCACGGGAGACCTCAACCTTTCAATCGGCCTTACTGCTGGAGTTTTTTAGAATTTAGGGTTTAGGGTTTAGGTTTTAGGTTTTCGGGTTTAGGCTTTAGGTTTTAGGGTTTAGGTTGTAGGGTTTAGGTTTTAGGGTCGAGGGTTTAGGCTTAAGGTTTTAGCACTCCGTAGCTCCTGATGCCATGTATTATAATGTATGGACTTGCCTTAGCCACAGACCCAAGCACGCCCAGAGCCCAAAGTCCTAAATCTTCTCAAGCCCAAGCACTATACAAGACCGAACCGCTCCTCCCTCCTTCATTTCTTTGGACTTTAGGAGCTTCGGCTAGCTGAAGGCCTTTGCTTTCCATAGTTATCATAGCCCGGAGACCGACCTGCAGAGTAATGGGTAGACCTCAGTTGTTTAGAGGCTTAACGGCGCTGACTTTCGTGTTGAGGCAGTTTACGGTTTAGGGACTTCAGGCTTTAGGGTACAAGCTTTGAGGGCTGCAAACCTCGAGAGTCGGACTTTAGAGTTCAGGTTTTAGGGGCCCGAACTTCGGGGTTTAGGGTTCAGGGCCGCGGGGCCATGATCCTAAGATCCTTGTTTCAATCTGTATCACGGGCAGGGCGGTGTGTGCTCTACATGAAAGAAATCGGAAGCTTACCTGTTTCGTTTGAGGGTTCGGGTATCGGCTTTTGGAGCGGTGTTGTTTAGCACCGTCCTCTCACGGAAGTTGTAGATCTCTTGGACAGGAATCATGAAGATACTCTAAACTAAACACCTCAAGCCCCAGAGCCGCCCCACACCCTGAAGCCCCAAATTTCGGAGACACCGAAGCAAGAGTCCCACAGCTTTGAATGGCCCTTCACAGATTCAGACTGAGCTTCGTAAGTCTGGTGTGCAGTCCATCGAGCACTTCCTGCAAAGCTCGGCTGGGTGGGTTTTGGGTGTATCCTTGTTTCTGGTTGCCTGCGAGATCTTGCCAACCCCCCCCCCCCGCGGATGCGTTGATCGAAGACCTTCGCAGCATGGAGGAGAGGAAGACCCGCTGCCGCAGCTTTCCCTCTCCTGGCGGAGCAAGATCTATTAATCCTTCAGAGGCGCTATCAGTTGGAGGAGTGGAGTCTCCTCCTTTATGAAAATTCCTACAGGCTGACTGGTCCTGTGTCATGGGCCATGCCTCACTGCCCTGAAATGCTTCGGGCCAAGTACGAGGACAGCTTCGCGGAATCTCGCGATGCGTTTTGTTCGCTAGATGCTTTAACCTGTGGGTAGCTCTCCAAATTAGGGTTTTAGGGTCTTGGTTATAAGGGTGCCGTACTATACTGAG